ATATTCAAAATGCCGAGAGGGCCATTGCATATTAATTGTCGAGAGGGTCATTCATATTCATATTGCCGAGAGGACCATCATATACAATTGCCGGAGGGCCATTGCATATTCAAACTGCCGAGAGGGCCATAGCATATTCAAAATGCCGAGAGGGCCATTGCATATTAATTGTCGAGAGGGTCATTCATATTCATATTGCCGAGAGGACCATCATATACAATTGCCGAGAGGGCCATTCATATTCATATTGCCGAGAGGACCATCCTATACAAATGCCAAGAGGGCCATTGCATATTCAAATTGCCGAGAGAGTCATCATATTCAAGCTGCCGAGAAGGCCATCATATTTAGATGCCGAGAGGGACATCATATTCAAACTGCCGAGCGGGCCATTGCATATTCAATCTGCCGAGAGGGCCATTGCATATTCAATCTGCCGAGAGGGCCATCATATTAAAGCCACCGAGAGGGCCATTGCATATTCAAATTACCGAGAGGGCCATCATATTCAAACTGCCTAGAAGGCCATCATATTCAGATGCCGACATGGACATCATATTCAAACCGTCGAAAGGGCCATCATATTCAAACTGCCGAGAAAGCCATTCATATGCACATTGCCAAGAGGGCCATTGCATATCAAAACGCCGAGAGGGCTATTACATATCAAACCGCCGAGAGGGCCATTGCATATTCAGACCATCAAGAGAACTATCAACATATTACATCAGTCTATTTTACTGCTTCGATATCAAAAAAAGAGTACATTGAAGAATTATATTGAAAATATGCGATACGAGCTTTATTTGCTTTACGTTAAACTGAAAGTAGTTGACGTTAAATATTCAAGGAGAACAATTAAGTGCCAACATGGTAAATGACACTATCTCTCCATTTGAAGTATATTTTACACTAATGAATTTTATCTCAGTCTTTGTCGAGAGCATCCGAGAGCATGAATACTCAAATCAAACCACAAGCGCGGACGACATCAAAAGGGATGCAGCACAACGTGAAGTTTTTTCTTAGCAGCGAACTGGGACATAGTCCAAAGAAGAGAATCAAACTCTTAGGACGCGAGCTTGAGGAGCGACTTCCACCACAATCAAACCACACCCCTATCAAAAGGCATGTGGGCATTTCCTTGGGTTTATCAGTTCCAATTTCGCATCCGGAAAACTTTCCTCTCTCACCGGAGGCAACTTTCCAATCTGAGTGTCAATGCACCAAGAGCTTTGGAAATTATGTCCGTGTAAGTTCTTAATTATGGGTGTGAAGTGCACCACATTCATGGCTAAGAGATTGCAAGCCTCTTTTTCATACTCGACTTACTTTGTCATTTTCCAGAACCAAAGGTTATCTCACATAATAGATTTCTTTTTCAACCGATTGGGTCCAATTACAAGCAACCTGATTTCCTAAGTTGAAGGATATGTAGGTGAGCTCAATGTTGAAAACTCGGTTGTATTCCGACATTCTGTCTTAGATCTTACTCCCGAGCGTTCTGGTATCTTCATAATTCGATATCGGAATAACTTTTGAACCCTTCGATAATCATGTGTCAAATCAACCGTGTCGAACTACAATTGAACGGAATTCTCATATAGCCTCAGATATGTAGGAAACCTGATACCGAGGTTCGGCCATAATTCCTAAAGTCCGTACCAAAATTTATTTCCTATAGATGAAGATGTGGTCGGTCAAAAATTGGATTCGTCAATTTCATTTGCCTCGAATTTCTTTCATCAATCCAAGTCAAACGAGGGACAGTTGTTGACACCTAAATTTGGACCTCCATATTATAGATTAATCATCGAGCTTCTTCAATTTCAAACGATTTAAAATAATTAGTTTCACAAATTTTCAAAAAAATCAAAAATATTTTGCAAGTTTATAAATAGTCTATCATTTTTTATAATTTTTAGTTAATATATATGTTTTACACAATTATGTGTATAATTAGTATATTTTATAAAATATTTGAAAATCATCACAGAGGATTTTACATCTTAGTTAAATATCTTATTAATTTACTTTAGTCTAAGTTATAGTTATAATTTCAAGTTAATTAGTTGTAATTAAATTAATTATTTCTGCAATCGAATTAATTATTTTATGTCGTTAAGATTAGGAAGCTCGTTAATTAATTTATGAAAATTTGTCTTGTTGTAATTTTTAGTCAATTGCTTATCCTATTCTTAACCATTTAAAGGACCGAATTTTGGGCCCTTTTTCCCAATTACCAGTAGCCCACTTCTTAATTACCATTCAATATTCCTCCAGCACAATTTCCCTTTCCCAGCTGGCCCACTCTTTCTATACATCAATATAGCATACCCATTTCAATTCAAGAAATCCAATTCAATCAACAATACAATACAACATACCATACGTACATACCCAGCACCAAACGACCCCTGTACTCTTCGTTCTTCTTCCTTTTTCACGCAGAAACCGACCCCACCTCGTTCTTCCTCATTCAGACGCAACCCAGAAAATCTCAGCAAATCCAAAAATCTCATCCAACTACTCTGCAAACCCATACCCTAGCAGTCTCAACATCGATCATTTCATCCCCTTCTCCTCCTTTCGCGGAAGTCACTTTATTTCCCATCCCTTACATTGTTGCCTCGAAAAGGAACAGGTAGATTCAAAATTCAAATGGATTTTACCCCCCTAAATCTACCCTTTCATCCCTCTATAAATAGCCTCCTTAGTTTTCATTCAAGGGGGGCGGGCAGAGAAAAAAGAGTTTTGAGTTTGAGTTCTTTGGCAATAGTTATTTTACACTTAAAATTTTATATTTAACTTTCTTGTTCTAAGTTTCGAAAAGGTCCCCGCTCAAATTTCTTGGTTTGCCATTCGTATTTGGCTGTTGTGGTGGAAGAATCACTGCCCTCTCAAGCTCGCTGCTCCAAGAAAGGTAATTCCCGCTCCCTCTTACATTCTGATTCAATACAACGTTGTGTGTTCATTTTTTTATATGAGTTCTATTGTTAAGTGTAGTTAGTTCCTTGTCTTAATGTTTTATTCTTCTTTAGCGTAGCTATCCCCTGATTCCTGGACAGTGAGCATGAGTGAATATTAATAAGGCTAGCTATATCCATTTAATTTTATTTGTAATATTCTACTGTTCATTTGGTCTCAGTTTAGAGTATATTTACTGTACAGTTTTGCTTCTTCAGTGTCCTTTGGTTATTCACTTTGTTGTTTTGAATTACGGTAAAAGTTTCTTATCATGTTTACCTAATCTCGTAGTATCTACTTTCGTTCTTGCTCAACTCGAACACTATCCATATCCCTTTGTGTTTTCAGCTTGCGTTATCATGTTTGTAATTCACCTTAGTCTTGTTTTAATTTGGTTCGTATGTTCGTAGTTGGTCTTTTCCTAAATATGTGTCTTGCCTTTCACATTTAGTCTTCGAAATGGGGTTGCAAAAAATCTAATTGTTGTCTTTCTTTTAAGTGTAGCTCTGTTTTTTTTTAAATGTTAGTCATTAGTCATGAAATTTTTATTTAATATTGTAGTTGTTCTTCTTTTAGGTATCCATTTTCATGTTGATATGCTTCTTCATAATCTGAGATACGTTATAGTATCGTGTGAATCTATTTTCATGTTGGTCTAAGTTAATAGTGTGTTTTTTTTTAGCATAATATTTTCATGCTTCCTTCGATTTAGCCATCATATAGGTCTGTCTGATAAACATGAATGCTATTTGAATGTTGTTTGATATCATGATCATGCTTTTGTTTAACTTCCTTGTCAAGTCCTTTAGTTATAACTTCCATTGTTTGGTTGGAAAAATTGTTAACTTAGCTCATATTCTTATTATTCACTTACTTCCGAATATACATCGAGTCCTATGTGCTAAGGCTGTTTGAATTGATAATGCAACTGGTTCGAAATGCTACTTTCATGAACATGTTGTAGATTTTGATAAGTTGTTTTCTACTACTAATTTGCATTGGAATTTACTGTAATAGAAAAGATTAGGTCTTGTTTCACTCCTCGTCTTATAAATTGACCTCTCCTACTAAAGTAATCAGCTTGGATGCCTTATCGCAATAATATTTGTTTAAGGTAGCTGTGACATTAACTTTAATGTGTTTATTTCGAGTAAAAGGAGGTTGTTCAAGTTCAAAGTTGTGGGTTGTTTGAAGATATTCTAATTCGGGTTCTCAAATTCCATATTCATATAAGGTGTTGTTTGTTATCTTCCTTACTAGATCCCATCTTCTCCCTTAGCATTTATATTTTTAGCCAAATCACTTGTATGACTTATTAGTTAGCTAAAAAATTCTAGTTTGTCATTTTAGAATTGTTAAGAATATAGTAGTTGGGTTTCATCGCCTCAAGACACTCTTTCTTTAAGGAAATTGAATGCATTTTTGGTGCCTAATTAATGTAGTTAAGTAATACATCAATTTTGTTTGCCATTTTGTTTTTAATTGCCCGATTTTTGCTCATGTGAAGGAAATTTCAGGCATGCCATATGTTTGTTTATGGACTAATTTAGTGGCCTAGACTAGTTTAAAT